GAGGTGGGAAGCTCTGCCACCAGTAAATACCAGCAGGGTCATCCATGGTGGATAGGTTTCAGAGGAGCCGACACACTAGGAAGAAGGATGGCGCCATCCACTTGAGAAAAAATTGGTCAGTAAAAGCCTTGTGAATAGGAATGTAACACTGTCTGATACATTACTGGAAAACTTTATGAATAGCCCTGAAACACTATCCAATACAGTGCTGGAAGATGAGCCCCTCAGGTCAGAAGGCACTAAAAATACGACTGGGGAAGAGCTGTCTCCTCAAAGTAGAGTTGAAATTGATACGGAGTAAAGCTTTTGGGACCTTCATTTGCTGAGGGGCGTGACTCAAAATGGGAATAAACAGCTGCAAACATCCATTAATATTTGGAATGTGGCATGTGTGAAGTATGAATCTAGGAATATTGGAAGTTGTCAAAAATGAAAGGGAACACATAAAGATTGATATCCTAAGCATTAGTAAGCTGAAATGGACTGGTATTGGCCATTTTTACTTAATCACATGGTCTACATGCCAGGAATGACAAATTTAAGAAGAAGTGTCACATTCATCAAAAAGAATGTTTAAAAATCTATCCTGGAATCAAAGACTCAAATGTGAAACCTAAAACTATCAAGTTCCTCAAGGAAAAATGGGCCCTAATATGTGGCATAAATAGACTATCAAGCATAACCCAAAATGCACAAACAGCAGAAGAGAAACTAGATGAATGGGACCTTCTGAAAATTAAATTTTTAAGTGCTTCCAAAGACTTTTCCAAAAGAGTCAAAAGAGAACCTTCAGATGGGGAAAAAATATTTGGCAATGACATATCTGACAAGGGACTTATCTCTAGAATTTATAGAAAACTTCTAACACCTCAACAACAAAAACACAAATCCAATTTAAAAATGGACAAAAGACATGAATAGACACTTAAGAGGATATTCAGGTGGCCAACAAATACACGAAGATATGTTCAGGATCATTAGCCATTAAAGAGATGCAAATCAAAACAACAATGAGATACCAACTAAACCCAGCACTAGTAGCAAAGTTCAACAAGACAGAAAATAAACTCTGAAACCTGTCCACCATGGATGACCCTGGTGAGGATGCAGAGAGATTGGGACTCTCATACACGGCTGGTGGGACTGTAAAATGATACAACCACTGTGGAAAGCAGTACAGCGATTCCTTAAAAAGTTGGAATTAGAAATACCATTTGGCCCAGCCATTCCATTACTAGGTATATATCCCAAAGAAGTTAGAGCCAGGACAAGAACAAATATATGCACACCCATGTTCACTGCAGCGCTATTTACAATAGCCAAAAGATGGAAACAGTCTAGGTGTCCAGCAACTGAAGAATGGATAACCAAACTATGGTACATACACACAATAAATACTATGCAACCCTAAAGAATAACACAGAATCTGCAAAACACCGCATAATGTGGATAAACTTGGAGGACATTATGCTGAGTGAAATAAATCAATCACAGAAGGACAAATATTAGTCTGTTACTGTTAAAAGTCAGGGAAAGATTTATATATGAAAGGAAACTTTGTTGGTTACCAGGGGTGGGAGGGAAGGGGAGGGAACACTGTTAGATATGTAGAGACAAGTATTGATTTGGGTGAAGAGAAGGGCAATGTACCAAATGTGAGCACTGAGGTAGCACTGAGGAAGAGGAAGACAGAGGTGTACAGGAGGTACAGAAAACAAAGATGACCCCTTTTGCACATAAAATACTGGGTTGTCAGTGAAGGCAAACATGAACATATGGGTGGATAGAAAGGTAGAAAGACTGAATTATTACGTATGTCTATGCAGGGGGAAGTGTGCCCAAGACCAGGTATAGGGTTGGCAGACAATGTTTCTACACATGTATTGGTATGTTCTATAAGAATTCCCAGGTATATAGTAGAGCTGACAAGGGAAAAAGTTGTAGTCACTTCTTGGGCACAGCCATCTACCCAGAGGGAGTATTTGGACCTGTGGGCTCAGGACCATAATTGCGCAGGACATCACGCTCAATCAGCATAACATACTACACAAAACATTGTTCCACATCCTACTTTGGCAAGTAGTAACTGGGATCTTAAAAGCTTGCAAGTGTCTATCTACATGCAACGATGGGTCTCTCCTCGCCAGAGCAAAGAAGAATGAAGAAAACCAAAGATTCATGGAAACAATTAGTCCAAGTGACTGGCACACCATGTGATCCTCAGCCTATGACCGAGACCAGAAAAAGTAGATGGTGCCTGGCTACCACTGTCAACCACTCAGAGGGGGATCTATGTAGGAGATCCTGGATAGAGTGGGAGAACAATGTGGAACAAAACTCAAAATCATTAAAAAAAAAAAAAAAAAAAAGGGGGGGACCAGGTTTGCTGGTCTATAGAGCCTGGTGGAACCACTGCGACTATGGCCCCTAGCTGCCCTTCAGGTCTGGAACTGAACTCACTACCATAGCTTCCAGTCAAACAAAAGACAGGCATATTAGCTGAACATTTACATTAGGTAGATACACTCCTTGGAGAGAACAATCATGGGAGAATAGAAGGGCCATCTACGCACAGGGAGACAGCTCAGGAGGCAGCAGTGCATGGAGGGAAGGACACAGGGAAAAGGTAACTATGGAGAGGAAGTGGGAGGGGAGCTGTTGAATAGTGGTAAATTATAGTCAATGTCATGAGACAAAGTGTACAAGAGCTGCTGTATGGAAAGTGAATTTGCTCTGTAAACTTTTCACCCAAATCACACACACACACAAAAAAAAATCTATCCTGAAGTATAATGCTGTCAGTGATAGGATAATATCCATACACCTATAAGGAAGACCAGTTAATACTACTATTATTCAAATTTATACACCAATCACTAAAGCCAAAGACAAAGAAATTTAAACATTTTTATCAACTTTTGCAGTTTGAAATTGAAGAGTAAGGTGCATCTAACCCAAGCCATGGTATTTTCAGTTGCCTCATATGCATGTGAAAGCTGGACAGTGAATAAGGAAGACCAAAGAACTGATGCCTTCAAATTACGGTGTTGGCAAAGAATACTGAAAATACCATGTCTGCCAGAAGAACAAACAAATCTGTCCTGGAAGAAGTGCAGCTGGAATGCTTCTTGGAAGCAAGAATGGCCAGACTTTGTCTCACATATTTTGGTCATGTCAGAAGCAACCATTCCCTGGAGAAGGGTAACATGTTTGGTAAAGTAGAGGGCCAGCAAAACAGGGGAAGACCCCTCAACAAGATGGATTGACCCAGTGGCTGCAATAAAGGACTTAAGCATTTGTTCTGTTGCACTCAAGGTAGCTATCTGAGTTGAAGCCAACTCAACACCACCTAATAATAACAACAGTCAGTACAATGTTTGGAAACTTACTTGGATCATGATTTGGAAAGAACTGTAAAATTGACACCAGTAAGGAAATTTGAATACTGGATATTTGATGATATTCATGAAGTACTGTTATTTTTTTAGGTGTGAAATGCTATGGTGTTTTAATTATCTTTTAGAGATACATCTGTAGCTATTTTAGTTATGAAGGGAGAAATTGGTTTGCTACATTTTAACTATTAATAAGTAATAAAATTCCCCAGTCACAGAAAAGTTTTCCAATAATCCACTTTAAAGTCAGAATACTAAGTCATTAAAAACTGAGACTGAGTTGGTATAGATAGTGTCAGGAATTGATTCAGCAGGTGGGTCTGTAGGTACTCTTGCAAAACATCGCTGGTTGAACAGATTATGGGCCCGAAAGGAAGCCTCTGAGTGAGGGGAAGTGATTAGTCTTAAATTCTTATCTGTCCAGATGAGCCAACTTGTGACAAGGCCCCAATTCCAACTCCTAGGCCTGTGTTTTTCCACTCCACTCTTCTTCAAAGACTATAAGGCAAGTTAGTGGTAGAACTGGGACATGAGATCTCAGGGTTCTTGACTCCCTGATGGCCAATGCACCTCCTACTATAAATTGAGGAGGGATTTGGGCCAGAGGTAATTTGGTGGTGGTAAAAAAAAATAGGCATAAAATAACATAAAAAAATAGGCACTCCAAATTTTAAAGAAGTGGTAATAAGGGCTTCAAAAAAGCTGTAAGAGTCTAAAAGGGGCCATTCCTTCTAATACCAAAGGCCACAGTTCCCGTATAGTTTGAAGTGTCCTGGATGAGAGGAATGAGGTTCAGTAGATACATAATAGAAAGATAAGCAAGATGAGAGCCCAGAGAAGGGTCAGCTAACGGGAGTGTCCAGTCTTGAGCACCACAATGAAAAAAACGTGGTAAGGAGCCTAGAAACCAGGTCTTGAGGGTAGTTGGGAAAGGTACAGTTTAGAGAAGGCGGCCCCCATCCCCAAATCTACTAGGCAGCCTCTGGACAAAGGAGCATTGATGACATGACTCAGTGATTAAGGCATTCTACTGCTAACCAAAAGGTCAATGGTTCGAACCCAGAAGCCGGCCTAGGGGAGAACGATGAGGCAGACTGCTTCCGTAAAGATTCCATGTTGTTTTGCCCTCATCCTTGGAAACCCTATGGGGTAGTTCTACTCTGTCCTGTAGGGTCACGATGAGTCGGAATCACTTCGATGGCAGTGGGTTGTTTTGTTTTTTGGGCCTCTGGACAGAGGAAACCGACATGATCTGAGAAGCCTCGGAGACACGGCAGAGAAGGTATGGAAAAGCAGAGCAGTTAAAAGCCAGGAAAGATAACTGGCAGAGGTTTTGGACAGGGACTGTCCTGATCGTTGAGGTATCCCTGACTTACTGCAGGCACAAAATCAGCTTTCAGTAAATACTCGTGGAATTACCGATTTCCGGGGGCAGGCTTCTGCAAATGTGAGAACCGGTTAATTGAAGATTTAGTTTACCTCCACAGGTTTCATTTCACCTAATGGAAAATAACAGTTAATGAAGCCCTGGCAGCCCTGAGCCCACCTACCCACGGGGCCCGCCCCTGTCACCGCCTGACGCACGCTCGAGGCCCCGCGCTGCGGATGCGCAGGCTACGCCCACTTTTTACGACGAGCCGGAAAGTAGTGGCTGCAGCCAGTGCTGAACTGTGCCGGGCGGCTATGGGGGTGAGATAAAAGCGAACCACTCACTGGGCAGGGTGGGCGAGGTGGCCAGGATCTGGAAGGCAGAAGCTCGCACCTTAAGGGGAATAAGAGTGGGTTCGTGCTGAGAGACAACGATGAAGCAGAGCTTATTCTTGGAAGGGCGGGGCTGAGCAAGGGATCGGAGCTGGGTGTGGGGCTGCGCAGGCGCGTCTAACGCGGTCGCTCTGCCCCTCCTCAGAAAATTGCGCTGCAGCTCAAAGCTACGCTGGAGAACGTCACCAGCCTCCGGCCTGTTGGCGAAGACTTCCGGTGGTACCTGAAGGTGCAGCTAGAGGGGCGGGGCCCTCAGGGAAGAGACGAGCATCCAGAGAGGCTACAGGCGTTTTAGCCGTTTCGGAGCGGGGGTGTAAGGGGGCTGGGCCCCGAGGCAAGGTGTCCCATCCTGATAGTTGTAGGAGAGTACTGGTGATGTTAGTACTGTGCAGGCCAGATGCTTTCTCCTTGGCAATATAAAAAATGTTTAACCAGTCATATTAAATGTTCATTATTTTCTGGTTATAATTTTACATTCTATTTTAAATAATTTATTGGTTAATCTTTCATTGACCTTGTCCTGGAATGCCTCCGTTAATTTTTTCCGCCCTCATTAAGGAGCTCTGGTGGATTAGTGCCTGAGGCATTTGACTGCTAACTAGAAGGTTGATGGTTCAAACCCACCAGCTGCTCCGAGGAAGGACAAACAAAAATAAACTCACTGCCATCCAGTGGGATCCAACTCATAGTGACCTCTCTTTGGGTTTCGGAGGCGGTATCACTACAGGAGATTGCCCAATTGAGGAAGGAAGATGTGGAAATCTACTTCCTAAAGATTTACCACTGTGGAAACCCAATGACTCAGAATTGACTTGATGGCAGGGGGTTTGGTTTGAAGTATTTCATTGTCTTTATAAGTACACACAAAAATGCTACTTGAAGGGACTTTGTGATTATTTAGTAAAGTGAATAATTTCACTTTAATTTGATTAGGTTTTATTTATTGTGAAATCATTTGTTTAATTTTATGCATGGCTTAACCCTTTAACTTATCCTCCACTGCACGGTTGTAAATCTGCTACCCTAGTGGCATGGTCCACAGAGATCCCCATCTTATCCAAGCAGTAGGAGGCCCTTCACTCTGCCAGATCCAAGAACTTCTGTTCTTTTCCTTCAGTACCCAGCAAAAGCCCTCTCTCTTTCAGGAAATTTTCTCTAACCACCTTTATTTCCAACTATTTTGAAGCCTAAGTTCCAGCTTTTATTTGGGGAATCAGTATTCTTTGGCCTCAAGAAGCACAGTCTAGTGAAGGAGACAGAGAAATAGGGTAAAAACAGTGGTAAAAACTTACAAGCTATGGGAACACAAAGGAAGCTCTTAACCCAACAGAGTGGGTGAGAGGCCTTTCAAGGCAATTCTGTACCACATGAGCCTTGAATCCCTAAGTTGGGCAGTTCTTAGAGGAGAATGGACACAACAGCATGAGAAACAGCTTTGTCCGTTCTTTGTCCAGAGGAATCCAGGTTATTACGACCTTGTTGGGGCTGGTTGCTAAGGATAAGGTGAGATTGCTGACAGGAAAGTGGGTTATGAGCCTGCCCACCCTCACACTGTTCTTATCCTTCCCTCTGTCTCTGCCAGTTGAGTGGCTGTTGACTAATACTCTTTTCTCTTCCCAAGATGAAATGTGGCAACTGTGGTGAGGTGTCAGAGAAGTGGCAGTACATCCGTTTGATGGTAATTGCTCTTCCCTTCACTGTATACACACACACACCCCACCATACTTACACCTCTGAGCAAGGATTTACAGAACTGTTAGCCCCAGTTTCTCTGGCCTTCTGGACCCTGCTTTTACAGTTTGGGGATGGCAGTCATCAGTGTGGTATAGTGGTAGCAACAGGCATCTTTGGAATGTGAGGCAGAATTCAGAATCTGGGAAACCCTTTCTTCAGTCTCAAGAAACCTCTCTAGGATTCTTGTCCTGGCAAGTCACATACCCTCTCTGGATCATGACTATGTCTTCATTTGAACACTGAATGGTGGGATTCAATCTCAGGACTCTTGTGTCTAATTGATACGTTACCAGAGGTTCTGTTTGCCCTTTGCCAGGACAGTGTGGCACTTAAAGGAGGCCGTGGCAGCGCATCCATGGTCCAGAAGTGCAAGCTGTGCTCTCGGGAAAATTCCATCGGTAGGTCAGGCTGTGAACACCAAGCTCATCCAGATTGGCCCCTTGTTTCCTAGTACCAGACCAAAAGCAGGCTCATGCTACCTGTGAGTGGATCCAGGCCTGAGGTGCTGTGGTCTGTTCAGGGAACGCCCTCCTTCCCAGAACCACATCTGGGCACCTAGGTAGAGCCATGGAATGGACTCAACTTTGTCATCTTTTTTATGTTTCAGAGATTTTGAGCAGCACCATCAAATCTTACAATGTAAGTTTCCTATTATAGTGGCAGGCATGGTGGAATCAAATCTAAGGTGGGAGGCCTGGTCCTAGAGTTATATCCACATCAGAGTGACCTATCATGGGACATGTATTCATTAATTCTTTCATTTACTCACTCATTGAGTCATTAATTCACTTTACCAGCCATTTGTTCACCATCACTGACTACCTGGTAGGGGGAAGACTTCATAAACAGACTGTTGCAGTGTCTTATAAATACTGGGGCCTCTGACCCAGCCTGGCTGCTCAGTTTCCATGGTTGAGAATACTTGCCTTGTCTACATCTTAAGGGACTAGCAAGTCTTCTCAAACCATGGATGGGCCAGTCCTTTGAATGGTGCTTCCATTTTTGATACTCTCTGTTATTAGGTCGTTGTGTACTACTGTGTGTTTTAGTCATTTAGTGTGGCTATAACAGAAATAGGAGCTCTGGTAGCATAGTGGCTAAGGCACTTGACTGCTAACTAGAAGGCTGGCGGTTCAAACCCACCAGCCACTCCTCGGAAGGAAGGTTGGGCAATCCTACTTCCGTAGTGATACTGCCTCGGAAACCCAAGGAGGGGTTGCTATGAGTCGGGGCCGACTCGACGGCACATAACAACAACAACAACATAACAGAAATACCAGAAAGTGGGTGGCTTTAATGAACAGAAGTTTATTTTCTAACAGTTCAGGAGACTGTTGGGGAAGGTCCTTGTCTCTTCAGCTTCTATTCTTAGGTCCCTTGGTGGTCATGTGATATATATCTTCCCCTCTATTTGGGCATGCTTGCTGGCTTAATCTGTGCTTTTATATCTCAAAAGAGACTGATTTAAGAAACATTCTACACTAACACTGCCTCATTAACATAGCAAAGAAAACTCATTCCCAAATGGGATTATAACCCTAGGTATAGGGGTAGGATTCACATACAACACATGTCTTTAGGGGACACAATTTAATCCATAACATTTGTAACAAATTGGCCCAAAGTAGAGAGAGGGGACTTGGGCTTTGGGTCTGTTTGTTTGTTTAAAAGAGCAGTTAATTTGTATCCATCCATTCTTGTCTGGTATTTCTTTAAAATGTCTCTGCTTTGTCTGGAAATTTAAAGAGGGAAATCAAATGAGGATTTTCCCTCAGGGAAATCATGATCTAGTGGAAGGGCCAGACCATCAAACAAAAAACAAACCAGGACCCAACAGAGAAGTGCCTTATCAATGCTGGAGATGTGGATGGTGTGCAGGGAATGAGTTTACAGTGATTGCTAGAAGCAAAGTCAATGTGTGGGCTGGTGGTTGGGGTCCTGAGCCTATGGGTCAGGTAGGCATGAATTTCCTGCCCATACCACCCCCTCGCAGGTGTCCCCTTCGTACACGTTGTGTGCTGCAGAGGCTTTTTAGGCCAGCCCTCTGCCCTCACAGCATGGCAGATGGTTAGTTAGCAAAGTCATTGGTTAAGTGTCTTGGGACTATTTAGACGATCTGGAGACTTCACAGCTTAGCTTTCTTACTTGTATTTTTGGTATTAATAAGTCTGTATATCACTAATTGAACATAGCATTGTACTAGCTGCACTAGCTACTTTACATAGTATTTCAGATTCTCACAATCAACCTGTAGGGACTTCCTTAGCTCCATTTGACAGTTGAAGAATCTTAGGCCCAGAGGGGAATAGAGGCTGAGCTTGACCTCCCAGCCAGGCGGTCTGACCCCATAGTCCACACTTGGCATCCATGTCCACAGAAGGTCTCATGGGAGCAGGTGCTTCGGTGTCATCCTGAGGGCCCAGCTGGGGCCCACCTCTTCAACACACTTTCCTTTCAGGCTGAAGATAGTGAGAACTTCAAGACGATAGTAGAGTTTGAGTGTCGGGGTCTTGAACCAGTTGACTTCCAGCCTCAGGTGGGTGTGTCTTCCTGGGGGACCTGTGTCTTTTGGGGAGGGGATCTAGGAAGTGACAGCAGAACTTTGCTTCCTACTGAGACCACAGAGCAGAGATTCTCCTTTCTAAGGATTAATAATAACTGTCATTTTTAAGTGCCTCCTAGACGCTGGGCACCATGCCCGTCACTTTTACGTGTTACCACACAGTAACCCTATGAAGTTATTTATCCTGTTTTTTTTCAGATGAGGAAAGACCCTCAGAGATCATGTGACTTGCCCAGGGTTACATAGCAGTGGAGCTATAATTTGAGCCCCAGGTCACTGCTTTTCTCGAGTCAGTACTTGTCCCACTTTACTAGTACAGCACATTCACCTCACAGCACATCTGTGATATAGGCAGAGCTAGTATTGTCATGATGTTTCATTTTTTTAAAAAAGAGGAAGATCCAGAGAAAGGAATGGCATGCCTGAGTCCTTCAGCAAATCAGAGAGTAGAAGGGTTTTACCCTGGCCCTCAGGCCCTGGAAGCTCAGCAGTTACTCTAAAACAGCTGTCCACACTGCATCGCTGTCCTCTGATCCCAAAGGTATTGCAAGAAGGGGTAGCTCCCTGGCCAGCCTTTATGTGCCACCCCAGTGCCTCCTTTCCCTCAGGCTAACCACTGCCTTTCTGTTATCTACAGGCTGGGTTTGCTGCCGAGGGTGTGGAGTCAGGGACAATCTTCAGTGACATTAACCTGCAGGAGAAGGTATGGGTGTTAGGGGCTTTACAAGGTGGTATAGGGAGCTGGTTGAATTATCTTTTTAGCAAGCAAGGCTCATTGTTGGAAAGCTGACTCTTGGAGCCTGCCAGATACACATACTGTAGGACATGTTACTGCCATGCAGAGAAGGAAGCTTTGTGCTCAAGCCTGGAAGGACAGAAGGACACAAACTTCAATTTACTTAGCACCTAAAAAGAGAGTGTTTATTGAGCTCTTATATGTGCTGGGCCCTATGTAAAAAACCAAGGTTCAGAGGAGTTAAGTAACTTGCCTAAAGTCATAAAACTGGAAGAGCTGGAGTATAGATCTGAGCTGTCTAGCTCTGTTCTAGATCACACATATTCATGAATATCAGAGTCATATCCTGAACTGGGCCTTTTGCATCCCAGTTCTCTATTCCCTGCACTGACCCAGGCTACCTCATGAATTTAACATTGCCATTTTATTTCACAGGACTGGACTGATTATGATGAAAAGGCTCGGGAGTCAGTGGGAATCTACGAGGTCACACACCAGTTTGTGAAGTGCTGAGCCCACTTTCTACATCCTTGCCCCTAAGAATTGAGGACGGACAAAGTGCCCCAATCAACAGCCACTGAGACTGGTCTCCTCACCCTCATCTCCTGGCAGTTGTCCTAAGCTCTCACAGTCTTGCATGCTGGGGTCTGTCATAGCTTCCCAGACCCCCAAGAAAGCTCCTGTTGATGCTGCACTGGTGGAGTCAGGTAGCAGCCACTCCCTCCACAAATAAGAATGCATGTGAAAGGTCTCTGATTGCTTCCTAGCACCTTACCCAAGTTTAAAACCCTGCACCTGGGGCATTCTGTAAAATATGCAGGAGCACACAGCTTTTCAGAGCTCTCCAGCTCTGGGGAGCAGCAGGTGGTTAACCCAGAGGACCGAAGATGTTGAAGCCATGGCCCAGAGGGCAGCTGGGGCTGTGGAATGATGCTTGGAGCCCAACAGTCTGGAGCTATCCATTGACCCAGGAATCTGTTACTTGGTGCCACTTGAGATTCCAGGGCTACAGGGGACTTTAGAGGTTAGAAGTACATTCCTGGTATAAATCTGGTCTATAAAATTCCTGCCAGCAGGACATCTGGTCTCTGCTCACTTGCTGAGGTGGGCATTCCCTTCCCATGAGGAACCAGTATGAAAGTTTCTCCTGTGCTCCCTGTAGCTACTTTTGGTCCTGGTGTGTCTTCCTCTGACCACACTTATGACAGGTGGTGTTACAGATCAGTAGAGAAATTACTAGTTCTTCATTAAATGGTGCTGGGGCAATTGTTTAATCTTGTGGAATAAAAGAAGATTGTATCCCTTTATTGTTTTGCATTCAAAAACCTATTCCAAAGAGTAATAATCTTGAGTGTTTTGATCCTGCAGTGTGGTGGAGTAGAAGAGCCCTAGGCTCAGTGTCTGGCTCCCAGTGAACCTATGGCCTAGTGCCTCCCCCCTCAGCACATTTTCTCCGTCTGGAAAAAGGATGCTTGCAGCTCTGATGTTACTTATGTTCATGAGATGAATTAAAATGGTGGTAGCATGTCTGAGCCCTGCCCCTCATCACCAGATCTCAGCACATAGACAGTAAGTGGTGGATCAAAGCCCCATGCCCTATACTCCAGGACAGCAATCTCCTGTCTAAGTGATAGAAACTAAAGCTGCTGGAAGAGGGAACAATGGGAATATGACATTGGATGGGCGTGAATGTCCAGTCCCAAGTGATAGAAATTAAAGCTACTGGAAGAGGGAACAGCGGGAAGATGAGACTGGATGGGTATAAATGTCCAGTCTTGTGGGCATTGTGTGAAGATCCTCGTATGCTCTTTTCCCTGCTTTATCCCTGACAAGCTGTTTAAAAAGTATTTCTATTACCCAGGAACATTTTTCTCAACTAAGTCTGTGTCTAAAAACTTAAGATTTTTTGTGAATAATAATGAGATGAAGGCTAGGTAAATTTGGGCTGCATTCCACAAATGCCCAGGGTCTCCACCTTGCTGGGCACCCACAGTGATGATTTCACAATGCCCCCGTACCTCTGTGAGCAGAGTGCCCTGGGCTGAGCCCTCTCCCTGGTGAGTCCATCAAGGCTCCAGAGACTCCTTGCCTGCCCTTCGGAAAGCTACAGGACTCAGTACTAGACATTTTGGCTTTCTGGCACCTTTCATGCACTTGAACCTTAATTCTAGGGTCTCTACCATACCACACTCTAGAAAGAAGTTGAATCAGACTGAAGTGCTCTTCTCCAGGAGCAAGCAATCAAGTGAGGCATATTAGTGATAATGAAAACAGGAGCTCCCAACATGGCTATGCATTGAGTCACTGGGAAAGCTTTTGAAATATAAGTTTCCTGACTCCATTCCTCTTCAATCAAAATCTATGGAGATAAGGCCTGAGGTTTCCTGTTTTTTCAAAGCATTCCCAGCTAAATCTGATCCAGACTATCAAGATCACTAGACCAGATTTTATCGCAGGGATTGAATGAAAATGTAGGCAGTTATGTTCAGCACAATGCAGGGGATGCAGTGTGCAGAAAAAATAGAAGTAGAGTCATTACAAATGCAGAACGGCATTGCCCACATGCCTTAGTGACCAAGTACTTGTGGAGCCAGTCCAGGGCCTAGTCATCTGTCCCTGCCAGACTCACTGACTCAGACCTGGGCCCCCTTGGCCTCCGGTGCTAACCAACCCCTTAACCTGCCAACATGCCTGTTTCCTGGAGGTGCTAGAATACTGCTGTTTGTTTTCAGATGAAAAGATCAAAAACTTTCCCCAGCAGGTGCCTATCCCTTCTCCCTGAGCTAGGAAGCAGCAGTGGATAACTAATCAAGCTCTTCCAGGCCCACCCAACTCCACTTCCTCAGGGATGGGGCTGGTAGAGCTCCCTCTACTGAGCCTTAAGAAAAAAAAAAAGTTTGCCATTGAGTCAGTTCTAACTCAGGTCCCCATGTGTATCAGAACTATACTCCACAGGGTTTTCAGTGGCTGATTTTTTCATAAGTAGATGGCTAGGACTTCCAGGGTGTCTCTAGATGGACCCGAACCTCCAACCTTTCAATTAGCAGCCAAGAACTTCACCATATGCACCTCCCAGAGACTCTTCTGGGCCTAGTGCTTTCCATTTAGAAAGAAATGGGGGCTTGGAACCAAAAGATGAAATCTAACAGGAAGAGATAAATTACAAGTGCCAATTACAAAAGCCAATTAATTTACAGCAGTTGAGGATTGACTTAACAAAAGTTTATATGAGAAAGACCTGTAGGCTTTGGTTAACTGTAACAAGTTTACCCTAAGTTAATAGTGCAAATTGACTGTGAATTAAAAAGGGGAAGCATCCACTTCTCAAAGAACTGGCCAGTGAAAGCCTTATGAATAGCAGTGAAATGCTGTTTCACACATTACTGGAAAATTTATGAATAGCCTTGAAACATTGTCCGATATAATGCCGGAAGATGAGCCCCTCAGGTTGGAAGGCACTTAAAATATGACTGAGGAAGAGCTGCCTCCTCAGAGTAAAGCCTACCTTAATGACACAGATGGAGTAAAGCTTTTGGATCCTCCATATGCTGATGTGGCATGACTCAAATGAGAAGAAACAGCTGCAAACATCCATTAATACTGGAACATGGAATGTATGAAGTATGAATCTAGAAAAATTGGAAGTTGTCAAAAATGAAATGGAATGTATAACGATCAATATCCTAGGCATTAGTGAGATGAAATGGACTGGTTTTGGCCATTTTTGAATCAGACAACCATATGATCTACTATGTCAGGAATGACAAACAGGAATGGTGTGGGATTCATCATCACAAAGGATGTTTCAAGACCTATCCTGAAGTACAATGCTGTCCATCGTGGGATAATATCCATACACCTACAAGGAAGTCCAGTTGATAAGACTATTATTCAAACTTACACACCAACCACCAAAGCCAAAGATGAGGAAATAGAAGATTTTTACCAACTTCTGCAGTCTGAAATTGACCAAACATGTAATTAAGATGTGTTGATTATCACTGGTGATTGGAATGCAAAAGTTGGAAACAAAGAAGAAATCACTGATAGTTGGAAAATATGGCCTTGGTGATAGAAATTAACACTGAAGATCACATGATAGAATTTTGCAAGATCAACAACTTACTCATTGCAAATACCTTTATTCAACAACATAAATGGCTGCTATACACTGGACTTCACTAGATGGAGTACATGGGAATCAGATTGACTACACCTGTAGAAAGAGGTGATGCAGAAGCTCAGTATCTTCAGCCAAAACAAGGCCAGGAGCTGATTGTGGAACAGACCATCAACTGCTCATACGCAAGTTCAAGTTGAGGCTGAAGACAAAACAAATCCACAGGAGCCAAAATATGACCTTGATGATTATATCCCTCCTGAACTTAGGACCACCTAAAGAATAGATTTGATGGACAGAACACCAATGACTGAAAACCAGAGGAACTGTGGGATGACATCAAGAACATAAGAAGAAAGCAAAAGGTCATTAAAAAGAAAGGAAGAAAAGGCCAAAATGGATGTCAGAAGAGATTGAAACTTGCCCTTGGAGAATAGCTAAAGTAAACAGAAGAACCAACAAGATAAAAGAGCTGAACAGTAGAATTCAAAGAGCAGCTCGAGAAGACAAAGTCTATTATTATAATGAAATGTGCAAAGGCCTGGAGTTAGAAAACCAAAAGGGAAGAACACAATTGGCATTTCTCAAGCTGAAAGAACTGAGGAAAAAATTCAAGCCTTGAGTTGCAGTACTGAAAGATTATACAGGCAAAATATTAAAGGAAGCAGGAAACATCAAAAGAAGATGGAAAGAATACACAGAGTCACTGTACCAAAAAGAATTGGTTGATGGTCATCTATTTCAAGAAGTGGCATCTGATCAAGAACCAATGGTATTGAAATAAGTCAAAGCTGCACTGAAGGAATTGAAGAACAAGGCTCCAGGAATACCCATTGATATGTTTCAACAAATGGGATGCCACTCTGGAGGCACTCACTTGTCTATGCCAAGAAATTTGGAAAACAGCTACCTGGCCAACTGACTGGAAGAGATTCATATTTGTACCCATTCCAAAGAAAGGTGATCCCACAGAATATGGAAATTATTGAACAATATTATTAATATCACATGCAAGTAAAATCTTGCTGAAGATAATTCAAAAATGGTTGCAGCAGTATATTGACAGAGAACTTCTAGAAATGTAAGCTGGATTCAGAAGAGGATGTGGAATGAGGGATATCATTGCTGATATCAGATGGATCTTAGCTGAAAGCAAAGAAGAAAGATGTTTACTTGTGTTTTATTGACTATGCAAAAGCATTCAACTGTGTGGATCATAACAAATTATGGATAACAATGAGAAGAATGGGAATTCCAGAACAATTAATTGTGCTCATGAGGAACGTGTACATAGACCAGGAGGCTGTTGTTTGAACAGAACAAGGGAATACTGCATGGTTTAAAATCAAGAAGGGTTGTAGCCTTTCACCATACTTATTCAATCTGTATGCTG